AGTGGGTGATCAACAGTGCCAAAGACTGCAGAGAGGTCAAGAAGAATGAGGATTGAGAAAAGGCCATTGGATTTGGCAATTAAGAGATTATTGGCAACTTTGGAGGGACAAGTTTTGTGGAATGGTGAGGTTTGAAGCCAGATTTTAGAGGGCTGAAAAGAGAATGAGTGAAGAGGAAACAGAGGTACTTATAGATGACCTTCTCAGGATGTTTAGCCACAGGAGATATATGAGACAATAGCTAGCAGGGATGGACAAATCAAGTGAGGTTATTTATGAGGATGGAGGAGACCTGGTATATTTGTAAACAATAGGGAAGCTGCCAGTAGATACAGAGAGATTGGAGATATGTGTGAGAGTGGGGATGATTGAGGAGACAGTCTTCTAGAGAAGACAGAAAGGAATGGGATCACTTGTACATTAGAAGAGTTGGCTTTGGCAAGGAGAAGGGCCATTTTGTCACATGAGAGCAGTAAATGAGGAAATAGTGGCAGAGGACATCTGGTTGATGACAGATGAGGGAGAGTGGAGAAGAGGGAGCTCTTGGTGAATGCCCTCAGTTTTTGTTTTTGGTTGTTTTTTTTTTCAGTGAAAGATGAGGCAAGATTCTCAGTTGAGAGAGTGGGAAAATGGAGTAATAGGAGGTTTGAGGAAGGATGAAAAGGTCTAGAAAAGATAAAATGGTGAACGGGAAAGTGAATTGATTAGGGAAGTATAAAAGAATTGTCTTGTTAAAATAAGGTCAAATAGAATTATTTAACATAAATTTGTAGTAGATCGTCAGCTTGGCTTTGTGATTTTGTTCCAGGTGCATTCAGCTTTATGTGAGGAGGTGTGAACCAAGAGATGGTAGCAGTAATCCAATTGTGAAGCTCAGCAGGGCAAGATCAGTAACAGGATAATAAAGAAAGCAACTCAAGAGAAGAGGACAGTGTAGACCTGAATTAATTCACTAAGAAGTCAAGATGGGGAAAGAAGGACAGTGTAGCAACTGCAGAGGTTATGAATTGAATAACCCCTATAGTGGGTTTGAAAGAACTTAGGGATTAAGGTATCAGATATTACTGTGATGATGAAGAACAGAGTTTGGGGTTGAAAGAGTGAAAGAAAGGTAGATTGACAACAGATTGTGATCATATGAGGGAATTTCAGAGTTTATAAACAGAAGTGGCACCTTTGTGAGTAATGGCAAGATCAAAAATCTTAATAACATCTGATATCACTGAAAGGGCAGAGCACTTTTCCCCTCAACATCCAGCTAAGGGAGGCTGTGAATGAAAAGGGCTTATTACTGCTTCCTGAGATCAAGAGCAGAAGACAGGTGGCTTTTCCTAGAAGGAGAATAGTGAGGACTAGAAGGAGAACAGCTGGCAGAGTCATGGCATTCTGTGGTGTAGACTGTTCCCAAGCAAAGAATAAGGGGGCATCAAAGACTGTAGTCTAGAGTTGTGAGTTGTCATTGACACATGAGTTTCTTCATGCATATGTCTCTTCGATATGTTTCTATAACTTTGTCCCCAATTCCTCCCACAAACACTGTGTATACTGGTGAGAGAATATTATCCAGGTTTATGGGTGGGATGCTGTGTTTTTAATGAATTTTCCATTTGCTTTCTATTTAGCATCTCATTTGGATTAATCTTGATTTGGGCTTCTATTGAGTAAAAGTTGTGATTTTTTTGTGCTTTTGTCTTATTTTGAAAGTGATTAAGAATAAATGATGTCATGGTGACTGATTTCTCATAAATGGGAAGCATGCCAGTAGGGATTCAGGAGCCTTGGAGGTGAGTAGTAGAATTATACCCCTTACCCTTCTATCAAGGTCACTCCTAGTACCCTTAGAGAGGATTGTTTTAGTTGTGTGTTGTACCTTGCTCTGGAAATTTCACACCTGTCAGGATGAGTTCAAGTTTGGGTGAATGAGTAGCCCTCCGATCATGAGTACACACATCAAGGCTACACTTGACTATATTTACCTATTATGAGGGTATGTTTTTATTTTCAGGAAGATAGTAGCAGGGAGTGAGGAACAATAGTGATGGAAAAAAGAAAGAAGGGAAAAAAATAAAGAAAAGAGTGTAAATGAAATATTAAAATTCACAGAAACAACACTAAGAAGTTTAGAAGAAGATGTAAATATGTATGGCATTTTTGCTACCATTATGTTACATTTAATGTGTGCTTTAAAACCATGCAATAAAATTTCAAAATTTTATATATAGTCCTCTTTTCCCATTCACATTGAAATGTTCACTTTTGTTCATGCTTGTTAAATCATAATAAAAAAAGAAAAAAGAGGTATGTTAATGTATGTAAAACATTCTGCAAACCTTAAAGCACTATATAAATACTAGCCATAATGATTATTATTGACCTTACACTATACCTCTCCTTCCCAATTGACTTTGGTGTCATAAGAGCTTTAATCTCTCTGTATCTTCTTTAGAAATAGTGGAAATAATAGCTTACGTTTCCATAGTGCATTACAGTTTTAAAGTGCCAGTCATTGCAGTGTGATTCAGTAGACAGAGATCTAGCCTTGGAATAGGGAAGACTTGGGTTCAAGGGATGCTGCCTCTGACACATATCAGCTGTGTGACCATAGGCACATCATAGCCTCTCAGTGGCCCCAAATAACTTTCCAAGACTATAAATTGCAGGCTGGTTGCTGGAATATATCAGTAGAGGGAGTTTCCACAACAGGAAGTATATAAATCCATGAAATCACAACCTCAGTCTATCTTCCAATTAAAAAAAATGTACATGACCTCATTTTAGACTCACAGCAAGCTTCTAAGAGAAGTAGTAGAAACATTCTTTTCATTTTTACCCATAAAGAAATTGAGGCTCAGAGGTGTAAAGGAACTTGCCCATAGTCAAATAGAAAGTAGTGACCCAAGGATTTGAACCTAGTTACTTTAATTATGGGTTCTGTGTTTTCCCCCTTGTACCACACTGAAAAAAATTATGTACAGGGTGGTGATGGTCAATAACATAGAAAAATGTGTTATTTATAAATGCATAGAAGCCTAATCATATTATATCATGACTTTACCCTACCTTACTTTTTATTTGTATATCTCAGAGACTCCAAAATCAGATGAAATAGCCCTCAAAACAATATCCTTTGCCTGATAGATGACAGTGGTTTCAGAATTGATGAGATCAAATGCAAGAAAAATTCAGATGTCATGACAGGTAATGGAAATTACACATTTCCCACTAATGCAAAAAGCAGACTGATTACCTAATAGTTGAACCATTCCAGCCTAATCTTTGTAATAGATTTCAAAATTCTCATTTTAACTAGAATATTAAAAGGTGATGGTCCCAGTCACCAAAGATAAAGGATCCAATTCCTGATTTTGAGGTAGCTGTACTATCTTCAGTCATCTCAGAAGGCATTGTCCATCTCTTCAAAGATTCTCAAACAAAATTCATTTTCGTTAAACAAAGAATACTACTAATGATAAATGCATTCAATTTTAAGGTGGGATGACAAATGTTACTAAATAAAGTAAAAGGATGGTACACCTTATAAAAGGTTGAGAATCACTACTCTGAGTTGCAAAAAAATAAAAATAAAATCCAGACCATAGCTCTGTACTTGAGTTTTCTATTAAGATGTTCTTATTATGTTATGGAAATAAAGTATTCAGTTCATGAAATTTTTAGACCCGTGTTTTCAGCAAACTGTGTGAAGACAAAATAATGTGTACATGCAATAAAACTATCTCAAAGAAACATTTAATCTATTCCTCTGATCGTAAATGAGTTCATCTAAATTTTGTATTCTGTTTTTAAAAAAAGAAAAAAGTAACATTAAAAGCCAAGAACAAGGAGGGAAAACCATAATTTATAGTTCTTCCATGTCACAAATTCCGATGTTAATGCCAGTGTAGGTTTCTGTGTCAAGGATAGGAATGTCATTAAATCCCAAACCAAACCAAATCATGCTAACCTAAATTGGAAATGCATGCCTAAAGGACATATTATTTATTCCTGGAAATTAAATCTTTCATCCACATCTGCAAAATTTTTAATCTTTGACTATGGATAAAATAATCACAAAAAGTAATGTGACTTCTTTTTTTAAAAATCATTTTAACAATCAATTTGCACCTCCCACTGCAAGAATCTTAGAAGAATTCAGATTAACTGTGATAACCCACTTCTAAACTTAGACTACTGTAGCAGTACTTATGGGACTGTTAGCCAACACTGGAAAAGCCCCATTCTTTTTTTTTTTTCTTTTAAAAAAAGTATTGAAAAAAGTTACCTTCAAATTCAATTTTGACCCCTTCCCATCTATAAGTTAAAAAAAAAGACAAGTAATTCGCCATGAAAAGCGGCTCAATGGCCCCTAAAGAACCACAGAAAGCCAAATTGATAAGGAAAAAAAAGAAATCTAAATGCACAATTGCCTTCCTCACATATTTTCTCTTGGGACCTTATTAACTTACAGTAAGCCCCCAACCATCTCTCTTGATCCAGCGGGTGCAGTTCCTCTTATTAAGAATAAAAAGGTTAAAAGAGATTTTGAGGCAAATTTCATTAAAGTATGATTTCACTAGGAAAGTAACAACATAACAATAAGTGCTTCAAAGGGAGCCAGCAACTTTTAAAAATGTCAAAACCAAATGTCTCTTAGACCAGGTTCTCGGTCAAATAGAGGATGCCCTCTCGCTTTCCATTCAGGGTAAGCTGTCCATCAACACTTACAACTAATTAATGATTTTTTAAAAAATGAATATTAACTCACGACTAAGAAACTCGGTACATGCAGACTGAGCAAGAGTGTGCTGTGGAGGCGCCCAGGGAAATTAAATGACTACAGAAAAGTTCATGCTTCCCTGTGGTTTTGGGGTTCATTTCTTGAATTGGGGTTGAGACCAAAGCAAAGTTAATAATCTCCAAGTGAGCGGTTGTACTTTATGCTTTCACTAGAAATCACCCCCACCACCTCACACATTACTGTTCTCTATCTCTCTCAGACTCACCTCTGCTTTGGGAAGCACTTTAACTGCAGGCATCCTGGGAGGAGGGGTTCCACTCTCTTTTTCTGGGTCAGAAGATTCTGGGGAGTGGGTAGGTAGAGAACAGTCCCGGGAAGTTCTGAAATGATCACGATAGCGGAGCACGGGCGGGCGCGAGGTTAAACCCTTTGCTTTTGTCCCCGCTTTTGTTAAGTCCTGTCCAGTGGGTGAACCAGTCTCAAAGCCAGTAGGAGTCAGTTGGACTGACTTTGCTCTGGAAGGCTGGGAGCCGAGCTTTACCAGGGGAGGAGTCACAAAAGCTGTTTCAAGCACCTCCCTAGCTGCACAGCATGCTCTCCTCCTCCTCCTCCTTTTCTCCCGGGGCATGGACTCTTCAGGTCTCCTTTCTATTTTTCTTACTGTTTTATTTATCTCCCTTATTAAGCTACCTCCCACTTCCATCTTCCAGTCTATTCATCTTTCAATCCAAACTCCTTTCTTCCTCCCTCTCCTTTACCCCAGATTCACTTATTCTTTCACTTCTTTCTTCCAATACTCTCTCTGTTTCTGTCTGTCTCTCTGTCTCTCTGTCTGTCTTTCTCTCTCCCTTCTTCCCTTTCACCCTCCTCCCCCACTTCTGCTTTCCTTGCTTCCCTTACGTCTCTTTTTCCTTCTCTTTTTTAGATTCCTCAATCCATTCCTATTTGCTGAACCTTCTTCCATGCCTCCTTCCCTACCACCTTTTGTACTGTGTTCAATAGCTTGTTCAATTCTCCCCAGCTCCTCCTTCCAAACTCTTTCTCCCTTCTTGCCTCAAGATCTTGCTGTTTTTAGTTTGGGTTGCCTGCTTTTCCTTTGTAACCTGGTTCTAGTGGCTGCCACAAGTTATAGTTTCAAAAGGGTGCCAGAAGAGTGCCTGGTCAGGGCATAGGTACAGGCTATTAACAGTGCGGGTGGGAGGAGGAAGTGGAGAGCAGCTTTTTGGATTGATCAAATCAGAGATCACTTTTAATTATTATTATTTTTACATTGGCTGGTTCTGTCTGGATGGGGATTGCTCCTATGTATAAAAACCCTTAGGGGAAAAATAACAAAGATGTGTTGACTCTGCTTTTCTGCAGTGCTCTGGAGCACTTTTATTCAAAATTAAAATGCATTGTTAGTGGGAGTCTTTTCAAAATTTTTTTTCCATATAGAAGATTCTATACTTTGTTCCTGTGACAAAACAGTTCTTTTTCCCTGTGAGCTGATAGACCCTCTTCCTTTGAGGATCCATGGAAAGTCCAAATCACAGAGACTCCTTTATCACAATATCTAGACTTTCTCTGGTAACAAAATAGGGTCCAGTTGTTTTTAAAAATTTATATAACAAATATTTTTTAATTGCTAGATATGTGCTGGCCACTTAGAAGGCTATTTTATCTTCTTAAGAGTTAAGTCTCTCCCCATTTTAATTCAGTCTTCATTCAGCTAACAAAGGAATTTTCTTATAGTATAGGTCAAAGAGTTGTAGAGGTTCTCTACTGCTTCCAGGATCAAATATAAACTCCTCTCTTTGGCAGTTAAAGTTTTTTATAACCTAGTCCCTTTCCACTGTAATTTACATAGACTTAGACTCCTTAATTCAATTCCCATCCACATTGGCAAGTCAGGACCACAGAGGGGACTAAGGGGGTTAGGTATCTTTCTAATGCTTTCAGCTCAAGTCCCCATTTGGGTATCCCCTTCCCCACATCAATTAACCAATTAACCTTAGTTACCTTTCAAAAAGGGATATTGATTGAAAAGTTATAGCAAGAATCAAAATGCAGAAACATCTCCCAAACTAAAGCTCGTTCTCCCTTCTGTCAACTCAATCCCTGTGGAAACTAGGCTCAAGTTTAAGGTAGTTGCTACAAACATTATTCCCACTGAGTTCACTTCCTGGTGCAATAGAGGCAATGGACAAGATGCTCTCTTGCATAAAGGTATCTCACCTGCTGAGTCAATCCACTGCTGGGATGACTCAAGCAGGTTACTCCTCAGGATTGGCTCATTTACGGCCTCAGCCACTGAACCTCTGCTAGTTCTTCTGACCTTTTGAAATCTCCCAAGGTCTTTTATCAAAAAGGAAAGAAAATAGAAATGGGAGGCAGGATACCATACACAGGATTGCCTAAGTGGCCTTGCACTCACTGGACTCCCAACTGCCTATCTGGAACTCAGGGAGTTATCCTAATATCTTGAGATCAGCAGAAAAGGAAAGTGCCTTTTCTTTCTTTAAAAAACAAAACCAAAAACATTTATTGTTGCTTTTTGTTGTTATGACCCCATTTGGAGTTTTCTTGGCAAAGATATTGGAGTAGTTTGCTGTTTCCTTCTCCAGCTCATTTTACAGATGAGGAAACTGAGGCAAACAGGGTGAAGTGACTTACCCAGGGTCACACAGTTAGTAAGTGTCTGTATCTGGACTTGAACTCAGCTCTTCCTGACCAACCAACTCAGGTCTTCCTGACTCCAGGCTTGGCACTCTATCCACTGCACCATCTATCTGCCTGTTGCCTTTTTAAAAAATTTACCCTCAAAATTTTTCCTGGCATCCCTCTCTTTTTTCATCCCCTACTCCCACATAGAGCCCCCGTACAACAAATGGTATTTTTAAAGACAAAAAGAGAAAAGCTAAATAGAACTAATCAATATATTGAAAAAAATATTTATAACTATGTACAAGGTACCACACTTGTGGCTGTCCCACATTTGTAAAGTAGTGGAGTGTATCCCCAGTACTTAGTAGAGTATCTCATAAATAGCAAATACTTAATAAATGCTTGTTGATTTATTGATTGATTCTTCTTCATTTTCTTTTCTTCCTTTAAGATGCAGCTCAGGCACCATCTTCCGCTTGAAGTCTTCCCTGATGCCCACAACCACACATTTCCTCTCTCCTAATCCACCTTACATTTACTGGCTTTGTAAAACCTTTGTACTTGTACCCTCAGCTTCTAGCATAGTGCATAGTGCTTGCACATATTAGTCACTTAATACTCATTGATTAATTGATTTCTTGCCTTGTGTATTTCTTTTTTCCATCCTTTTCTCCCCTCTCTTAAGACTATCAAAATATAACAAAATCACCTGCAAGCTTTCTGTGTGTCTGTGACACTGGAAGTCATTAGGATTAAGAACAGGAACTCTTATCTTTTCTCCCTATTAGATTGTAAGCACTTCATCATTTAGCACCCTTCAATTATTCAAGTGTATTTACCTTTCTAGTTTTCTCTTAACTTCTGTGTTTACATTTTACAATTTCTACTCAGCTCTGCTCTGTTCCTTAGAGATTCTTAGAAGTCCTCTGTTGCATTAAAGAGCCACTCCCCCCCCCCAGATTACATTCAGTCTTGTAGGATAAATTATTCTTGTGTCTTTTGTTTGTGCTTCCTGAACGCCATACTCTTTTTATTACATTGTGTCCTGTAAAGGATGTTTATTATTTCTGCTTTTTTATATTTGTTTATAATATCTCTGTGCCCAAAATTGTAAACTAATGATGTGTCCACCAATTTAGGAATGGCTAAGAAAATTGTGGCATATGAATTTAATGAAAAATTGTTGTGCCATGCAAAATGGACAGTTTCTAAGGAAACTGGGAAAACTGGTGCACCAATGCAGAGTGAAGTGATCATAATTAGAAGAACAATTATAAAATAGCAACAAAATTATAGAGAAAAACCAACTTTGAAAGATTTTAGAACTCTGATCAATGTAATGAAAAATCATGAGTACAAAAGACAGAACATAAAACAGGCCATCCAACTTCTGCCAGTGATGTGATAGGCTTAAAAAGCAGAATTGAGAAAGACATTTTTGGACATAGCCAGTGTAGAAATTTGTTTTGCTGGATTATGATTATGTCTTATGAGGGTTTTATTTTTATTTTCTTATCATTTAATTGAGGGTGGTGGTAGGAGACAAACATAATAAATGCTTGTGAAAACAAACAAAAAAGGAAAAAAAAAGAAAGTAAAGGAAATGCCAGTGATGATGTTGGGATTCTCAACAATTTTTCAAGTCTAAAGATTTATTGACTAGCTTTTACTGTTATAATTAAAGCTTGAAAAAAAAATCCAAGAATTAAAAAAAGAAACACAGCTTAGAGTTAAAATGAGTGGCTGGAACCAAATGATTATCAACAAAAGAGCAGGAGTAGAAATCATGATGTTAGATAAGGCAAGAATAAAAATAGATGTGGTTAAGGGAGATAAACATGGGAACTATATTTTGCTTAAAAATATACAACTAAACAATGCCAACATTTAGCGCAATGGTGGGGTCACAGGTTGTTGCATTAATATAAATGATTCTGAAAGAAATAACATCTATGTAATGAAAGAAAAGGTTTGAGTAACAGGAGGAATGAACAACATACCTATAATGGTTAGGGATCTCAATGTACCCCTTTCAAACTGAAACATAACCAAAACGAAGAGGAAAAAGTCAAGGAACAGAATGTAAACTTACTTATTCATTCATTTATTTATCAATTATTTGTTCATTTTTTGTCTATCTATCTATCTATCTATCTATCTATCTATCTATCTATCTATATCTATCTATGGCCTAGGTCTCCCTATATTGCCCAAGCTGTAAATACTGGTCCTGCCCTGAATAACATGGGAGCTTTGAACTATCCCATTTCAGAGCCAGGGCCAGTTTGTCCCTCCTTGGGCAACATGGTGGCTCCTCTCTCCTACAGGCCCACCATATTAATGCTGAACTTAGTGTTATTACCCCCATTGATTTAGTCCCCTGTAGTTCAGACTTCTAAGCTCAAGAGATCCACCAGCCTCAACCTCCACAGTAGTTTTACTTAGAGGCATGTACCACTATACTCATCCAGAACAGAATTTTAGAAAATTTGTATATAATAATTCTCTGGCAGTTACTGAAAAAATAGAAAGGACTACACATAAGCTACGCATGACACATATACAAAAATTGACAAGGTGGCTTTAGGATGGGAGTGGAGACAAGATGGCAGAATGATAGGAAGCCTTGTGGTGAGCTACCCTCCACAAACTTCTCTAAAAAAATCTATAAAATACACTGAATTCTTATGGGGAAATCCAGAAAAAAGTCATAGGGAGTCATTTGTTCAGCCCATGTACCCAGACAAGGAGGTCTGTGTACACTGGGAATGGCTTTTGGGCAGGAGCATGCCAAATGAAGAGCACTCCAGTACTCAGGAAAAGGCTGTGCACCAGTGTAAGAAAAGTTCCCAGAAATGTGCAAAGCACCCCAATACCTAAACTAGAAGAAAGTTGTGGAC